TCCCTGCACCACAACTCCCCCCCGCCCCCCACCCCACATCTAGATGTGTATAAAAGACAGGTGTGTGTGTGTGTGTGTGAGAGAGAGAGAGAGAGAGAGAGAGAGAGAGAGAGAGAGAGAGTGTGTTCTGGGGGGCCGAGACCCAGTGTCATTGAATTAATCAGGCATGCAATGAGACAGTGGGTTAAGGACAAAGTAAGGTGCACTTACTCAGGAAGAAGAGAGTGAGGCACTGATGACCTCAAGTTCATTGACAATGTTACCCATTGATGGCCTTTCGTCAGGAGAGGGATTGGTACAGTTGGCTGCAATAAGTGCCACGCGATGCAGGGCTTGAAATTTGACCCCCTCCGTGGATGCAATATGCAGCCGTGAATCAATGACGCGCAGCAGCACTGAAGGCTGATTCAGTAGAGGCTTCACAAAAGAAACAAGGCTTTGACGCTCCGGTTGCTCAATTACAGCCTTCTTCCCCGTTATAAGTTCCAGCAACACAACTCCAAAGGCATGAACATCATTCTTTGGCCCCACAATCCCTGCATTCACGTACTCTGGGGCCATGTAACCTTGTGTTCCACACAGGTGGGTGGTCTCCACTTCCCCTTTCCTGTCTGGTTGGAACAGGGTTTCACCCATCTTGGCAATACCAAAGTCCGCAAGTTTTGCGCATAGCGACTGTGGCCCAGCTGGCATGTCAAGTAAGATGTTATGTGACTTGACATCCCTGTGATACACGGGCCGATCTGCTTCCTCGTGCAAGTAGCGGAGCCCTTTAGCCACATGGAGTGCAATTGTGATTCGCGCTTGCACATCCAACGACACAGCCGCTTTCACATCTTCTTTGGCATGCAGATTGTCGTACAGGCTTCCTGATTTAATGTATGGATAAACTAACAGCAGCTCCTGTCCCGCTCCTTTGGGGGCCTCACAGAACCCCAACAACTTGCATACATGCACATGATTTAGATCCCCCTGAAGGGCCACCTCCGCTTGAAATTGCTGATACTTGCCAGCCGTTAAATGGCCTTTCATGACCTTGATGGCCACCTCCTTTCCCCCATCCAGCACCCCTTTATAAACCTGCCCAAATGCGCCTGGCGTACCAATCTTATTGTCGGGGGTAAAGTCACCTGTGGCATCCCTCAGTGTTTCATAAGCGTAGTGGGTTAGACCAGGGATAGACCGCCTCTCAGATCCAGACGACGCAGCTCCCTTAGCTTTCTTGGAATCAACACTCACGGAATCCATAGTCGTATGCGCTGTCCAGCCATACTCTGAGGCAGTCTGCCCACCAAAGGCACTGCTGGTAAAGCCTTCAGAGTCTCCAGTGGCAACCAACGCGCGATGCTTGCGATTCGGGCGGCCAACTCCGCATGTGCGGTGCCATACTGCAATTACCAGTAACCCAACTGAAATGCCACCAACGACAAGGCCAACAATCAATCCCACATTTGTTCCCTCACGCTTTCTATCTTCTCCCATTGTTGAGACCCCGCCTCCTGGCGTAATGCCGGGCTCAGCGTTTTTCGTATTCTTGTCTTGCTCAGGTGGAGGAGGTGCTATCGTTCCTGCTGGGGCACAATTGACATCGGACTGGTTAATAACCAATGAGTACACGGTCGAAAAACCCTCTTGACTGAAGTCTGCCACGAGCAACTCTGTGTCATTGGGTGCCAGTGCCAAGATAGCAGGAAAGCCAAAACTTTTGGCCGTGGGCTTGGGCTGATCAGAGGGGGCAATACCTGGACCCTTGGCGAATTTGAGATGATAGACCCAAACGTCCGGTCCATCGCCAGTAGCGCTTGCAAAGAGGTCGCAGCCCCCTTGCGAAGTAACTGCTAAAGACATATAGCGGCCCAGGAAAGGCATACTCATGTCGGGCAGGCTGTCTACACACATATAGTTTGGGTCTGTGCTCCTACTGGTATCACAGCGGAACAGTTTTTGCGACATGACGTCAGAAACAAACAGATACTGACCATCTGGCGTCAAGGCCAGGCCCACCATGTCTGAAGTCTGCAACGCCCATTTGTTTGGGGTTACGGAATCGTTCGCAGGCGGCATACCGTCAGCACCACGTTCAGGAAATATAAGGATGTAGTCATTTACCTTTATGTAGAATATTTTGCCGATGCGGTCGTATGCCATCTGGGAGAACTTTGACAAGATCTGCTGCTGTTGAGGCGGCGCCGATGTTCCAGGGGGTGTGGTCCCCACATTGTAGACGACAGATACCTGACTTGCCAGTCCTCTGAACCAGAGCAGCGGCTTGACAGCGATCGCTGAAGGTGCCAAATCAGCAACATAAAGTGTATCGGCGGCATTATCCAGCACAAAAAGCGTCGACTCGTCACTAGACAAGGCAAGTGACGTTGGGTTCTTCAACGTGTTAGATGCGGATGATCCTGTTTGGCTGACATTGCCGATCTCATCAGAAGTAAAATCACTGCGGCTGCGGCTGTAAATGATAACTTTGCACCACGACGCTGGCGACTGTGGATCTGGTTGAAAGTTGACCTTTCGAAACGTACCATCGCTGCGGGAAAGATTATACTTGCACATTGACAGAAAATATCGATCAGCACCAGCAGCGATTCCCCGAACCACATAGCTTTCGTTTGTATTGGATGTTATTTGAAACCTAGTGTTCGCAAATAAATTTTTCCAGTTGATGAATGGTGAGTCCGCCCGTATGTCACCAACTGCTAACGAGAGCATGACAATAGTCATGAAAGACACCACCAAAAGAGGCATCCTGCAAGCTGTTATTACTCTCTCAAGACTCTTCCCTCGAGTAGCAATGCCCTCTCGTACCATGGCCATTTTGACTCCCTTTCGGATTCCTACATCCCCCTCAGTCTCGTCGTATGCCTGTCTGTCTGTCTGCCTGTCCTTCCATCTGTCAATCTCATCATCTGTCTGTCCGTCACCCTTCCTGTCTGCCTGTTTGTCATCCATCTGTCTATCTGTCTAATTGTCTGTCGGCCTTTCTGTCTCTATATCTATGTGACTGAATGTCGGTCTGGTGGTCTGTATTGTTTATCAGCCTCACTTACTGTTTACTTGCTCGCCTATGTGTCTATCTTCCTGTATCCGGCTCTCTCTTTCACATGTGCTGCATGTCTGCATGTGCGTGTGTATACTACTGTGTACACGTGTGTGTGTTGTTTTAAAAGACCCCAGATGTGTGTGTGTGTGTGTGTGTGTGTGTGTGTGTGTGTGTGTGTGTGTGCGCGTGTGTGTGAGCGCGTGTGTGTATTGTAAACTGTCACCGCAACAGCCCCTCTTCCACCCCCCAGATGAGTAGATCCAAATTGAAGCAGCTCTGTGTGTGTGTGTGTGTGTGTGTGTGTGTGTGTGTGTGTGTGTGTGTGTGTGTGTGTTTTAAATTTTCAACACAACAGTCCCAATTTCACACAGATGAGTAGATTCAGCATGTGTGTTATATGTGTGTGTTGTTAAACCACCAGTACTTAGCCCAGCTGTTGGCAGCGGAAAAAAAAACAGTAGAAACGTTTCTAGTCGGATAAATTTGGGCGCTCCTGTAGTGGCCCGTACATTACCTAAAACCGTGGCTTGTTAATGGGCACAACTTTAGGAAGTACTGGTGGTTAAAAAAAACACCCCAAATTCTCTCTCTCATTCCCTCCACAAATCATAACAACCCGTCCATAACGAAAAAGTACAGAGTGTGTGTGTGTGTGTGTGTGTGTGTGTGTGTGTGTGTGTGTGTGTGTGTGTGTGTTATGTGTGTTATGTGTGTGTGTGTTTGTGTGTGCGTGTGTGTATGAGTGTGTGTTGCCTAACCAATCACCACACATCATCCCCAGACCCATCCATATCCATTTCAGGTATAGAATGAGTGCAAGGCGGGACACATTCGTATGGTTTTGCCTGTGTATGTGTGTGTGTGGTGATGCATACATGCATGTGTGTTTCTGTTATGCTATCGCTAAACATAAATTCCAAAGACCCACTCCCGTCTCCCAAGCATAGAATCACAAAAAGAAACCCGCAAACTGCCCACACCTGTGCACTTGAGCAGGAAGTTCCCACACGGCCATCCGCTTGACATGCACTTCACACCCACCCTCCAAGAACAAGTGGGGAGGAAAAACGAAGGCCGAGGACCCACTCGAGGTCATGAATCTCGATGTGACACCAGAAGCTCTACTGCCAAGGACCTCCTTTTCAAAAGAAGGCCATGGGCATGTTACTCATAGCATGAACTCTTCGAGCCTGCTAATAAATATCACACAGACGTGAGAAAACAATTCAATGCCTTGTACCCAGACAATGCAGGTCCATGTTCTATACCCATAGACGTGCAACGTTCTTATACACCCACAGCCCTACGGTCTACAGCTACAAATCTTACGAGAAGAGTCGGTTCCACATCGCCTTCACATCCCCTTGCACTCACTAAACCATAAATACAATCAGCTGAATACAATTGTGGACCATTCCCATTTTGGCGTTCATCTCCGCTTTGTGCCGAGCCAGTCTTTCGGATTCCGAAAATGGTGCACAATCAGAGTTCGTGCTCTTAGGCTTTAAATTTGTCCTTGCCTTTAAATTCATGAAGCCGTTACGTCCCTCTGACCATGCCTTGATCTGCCATTGAGCATGAACCGGTCACATAACAGCAGCACAGCAGCAGATGCAATGAAGTCAGTTGCAGAAGTCTCGGCGCAAATCAACGGTAACATCATCGTTGGCAGTAGTCGCTTTCCCTATGTCGTCATCATTACCCAACAGGAAGGATGAATCAAATAACTTTTTTTCACTCCTTTGCTCCATGTTGTGTTTCAACTTTTCAATTTTGAGACTTTCAAGGTTAAACTAACTCCATGAAAAAAAAAAAAAAAAAGGTTACTCCATGCTGTATGCCATTAGAGAGCCACCCCACGTAAAGATGGGAAAGAGAGCTCAATAGGTCAGCACTCTGTGGTTACTGTTACGAATTTCAAGAATCTCAAGTACTTCCATTCATCAGAGAGTGTGATATTGAGGATGTTCCAGGTAGGGATTTTTGGTGGAGAGCGCTAGCGCCGACCGGTAAGCGTGTTTTTCCAGCGCCAACTCCCGGTACCAAAGCGCGGCGAATTTTCTCGACTCACGCGAGAATTCATGCCGCGCGCGAACGCGCACATCATCGCTTTTCGAACGCGAAGTGGAAAGACGGGAAAATTGAAGGAGAGGATACGTCACATCCCGCCACGCCTTTGGGCATGGCTACACTCATAACAGCAAGGCACAGGAGGGAAAGGGAGGAGAGGGTGAGAGGAAGAAGGCAGAGGAGACGAGCTGAGAGAAAGACCGGGGGAAAACAAGAGAGGCAGGGCACAACTAAGATCAGGAAAAGACAACAGTGGAGAAGAGCGGGAAGAGAGGAAATGCGAACAAACTCTTCCAAGACGTGTAGAGGAGAAGAACATTGAAGAGAGGAAGAGGAGGGGGCAGCTACTAAGCATAGGAAAGGACAATGGAACTGAAGGGAGGGATAGAGGAAGAAGGGAAAAAGAGCCCTCCAATACAAGGGAGGAAAGATTCATTCGGAATACACAGCCCGGGGCATTCACGAACGAAAGAGGAAAGTGTGAGGACAAGAGTAAACGACAGAGTCCTCGAGGGTTGAGAAGAAGAAGTGAGCTTTTCCCAAGAACGGGAAGAAACAGAAAGTCGTGAGGAGAAGGAGGTAGAAAAAGTGAAAAGAGACAAAACACCCAAGAGAGAAGCGAGGAAAGTGTCAAAGGGACTAGCAAGGACATCATCCCAAGTAGCCAAGAGGAGCAACGCAACATCATTACGCCCGGAAAGGTCAGAACAGTACAATTCGACATTCAAGGTAAGACCGAAAGCTCTCCTCCGCTAACCCCTAGTGAGTCCTACAAAAGGCGACAAGCAACGACAAGAGCAGCCACGAAAACACCGACACCGCGAAACATCTATCGTCTCCCGATCTTCCTCACCCCTCATCTTAGTAACATCCTACGCAATAGGACATAGGATCGAGTACCATCCTGTCACCAGTGGCCATACACGACAGACTCGACAAACACACTGAGACAGTCAATCGACTACGGGCAGTAAAGAGGACACACTGCACATTAAATTTCCTACCATTTCTCGAAGGAGCGATCCAGACTGGGACAAAACAAAGAGGAGAGGCGTGGGCACATGAGCATCAGGAAGTAGAACACCGTCCCTACTCACGCACTCCAATCAGTAAGATAGAGGTAGCAGAGAAGCCAGGCCACATCTTCCAATCTCTAATCATTTCGACCCACCACCCCTTCATCCCACACCGATCCCCCCCACCCCGATCCCCCCCCCTGACCTACTCCGCGCAATCCAGCCCCCCTTCCCACTCCAAAGTGAAAAGAGACAAAACACTCAAGAGAGAAGCGAGGAAAGTATCAGAGGGACTAGCAAGGACATCATCCCAAGTAGCCAAGAGGAGCAAAGCGACATCATTACGCCCAGAAAGGTCAGAACAGTACAATTCGACATTCAAGGTAAGACCGAAAGCTCTCCTCCGCTAACCCCTAGCGAGTCCTACAAAAGGCGACAAGCAACGACAAGAGCAGCCTCGAAAACACCGACACCGCGAAACATCTATCGTCTCCCGACCTTCCTCACCCCTCATCTTAGTAACATCCTACGAAACAGGACATAGGATCGAGTACCATCCTGTCACCAGCGGCCATACACGACAGACTCGACAAACACACTGAGACAGCCAATCGTTTACGGGCAGTAAAGAGGACACACTGCACATTAAATTTCCTACCATTTCTCGACGGAGCGATCCAGAGTGGGACAAAACAAAGAGGAGAGGCGTGCGCACATGAGCATCAGGAAGTAGAACACCGTCCCAACTCACTCACTCCGATCAGTAAGATAGAGGTAGCAGAGAAGCCAGGCCACATCTTCCAATCTCTAATCATTTCGACCCACCACCCCTTCACCCCACACCGATCCCCCCCACCCCCAACCCCCCCCCCGACCCCCGCCACGCAATCCACCCCCCCTTCCCACTCCAACCCCCCCTCACCTCCCCCCCATCCCCCCACACCAACCAAGTTGTCTCCCAACTCCCCACCCGCTCTACTCCGCACAGCCCGCTACCAGAACCATCACCCACCCACCGCTCCCCGACTCCCGCCTTGACTCCTCGCCCTGACTCCCCCGCATTCCTACTCCCCACCCAAACTCTCCCTCCTCATCACCAACTTCCAGTTCCCTGCACCACAACTCCCCCCCGCCCCCCACCCCCTTCCCCCCTGTCTATCTAAGACCAATCCCAAACTCTGTCTCACCTCAGCTCACTCCCCCTTCCCCCGACCCCGATCCCAGCCCTCACTACACCGAGCAGACCGCTACCAGACTCCTCACCCACCCCTCGCTCCCCTACCCCCACCCCGACTCCGTACTCTGACTCCCCCGATCCCTACTCCCCACACAAATTATCTAGCCCCATCATCAACCACCGTCCCCTCCACGCCACACAATATTCAGTCAGACCCCCCCGCAACCTGCGAACCCCTCCCCCAATCTGCAACACTATACAATCCCACCACCTAAAGTCTCTTCCCACTTGATCCCAACCCCACACTAATCCAATCCCACATCCAAATCCTACCCTTATTAAATCCTCCCTCATCCCGATCCCATACCGATCCCCTTCTGCTCCTACCACGCTCCCATCCCGATCCTATCCCACCTCCTTCCCGAACCCACTTCGCTCCCATCCAGCTCCCATCCCGCTCTCATACCGCTCCCTTCCGGCTCCCTTCCCGCTCCTATCCCGCTCCTATCTCAATCCCATCCCGATCCCCTCCCACCTCCATCCCGTTCTCACCCTGATCCTATCCCACCCCCATCCCAATCCCATCCCATCCCGTTCCTACCCCGTTCTCATCCCGCTTCCATCCCGTTTCCATCCCGATCCCACCCAACTCACATCCCACTCCCATCCCGATCCCAGCCCGTTCCTATTTCAATCCCATCCCGTACCAAGCAGCCCCCATCCTGCTCCCATCCCGATCCCACCCTGATTCAATACCACTCCCATCCCGCCCCCATCACAAGCCTATCCCACCCACATCCCAACACCACACTAATCCAGTCCCACATCCAGATCCTACCCTTATCAAATCCGCCCTCATCCCGATCCCATATTGATCCCGCTCGGCTCCTACCACGCTCCCATCCCGATCCCATCCCACCTCCTTCCCGACCCCATTTCGCTCCCATCCAGCTCCCATCCCGCTCTCATACCGCTCCCATCCGGCTCCCTTCCCGCTCCTATCCCGCTCCTATCTTGATCCCATCCCGATCCTATCACGCCTCCTTCTCGTTCCCACTGCGCCGCCATCCAGATCCCAGATCGCTCCCATACCACTCCCATCTGGCTCCCATACCACTCCCATCTGGCTCCCTTCCCACCCCTATCCCGCTCCTATCCCACTCCCATCCCGCTCCTATCTCGCTCCCATTTCGCTCCCATTTCGCTCCTATCCCGCTCCCATTCCGCTCCTACCCCGCCCCCATCTCGTTCCCACCCCACCCCCATCCCGATCTCGTCCAGCTCCTATCCCGATCCCTCCCCACTCCAATCTCATCCCGTGTCCCTTTAATTTTGTTGACCCATCTCTCCCCTACTTACCAATCCTGTTGTAGCCGCCTGGCCCTCCTCCCCTCACCTCTGAGCCACCTACCCATTCTCTTGCCCCCCCTAGCACCCCCACCCACTAACCAATCCCTCTTTCTTCGATTTAAGCTCTCTCCTATGACGTGTACCCCTTATTCACCTTCACGATCACCTTCTTGACACACATCCAACCGCCCAAGCGCCTACCCCCTCACTCATCCCGCTGACTAAGCTCCCCCCGTTAGAACACTTACTCAACTGTTCCCTTACAGCAGACCAGCACAAGTATCAAGCAACCGATGCTCGAACCACTAACAATCACAACAATGGAGGGCATGGGAATTGAAGCGCAAAATTGGCTCGCGGAACAGACAAGGACGCCTCTCATCAAAACCACCAAACTCATTGATCATGGGGGAAACAAGAAGGAAGAGATCGTAATCTACGAATGCCCCTAAGAATTAACCTCCAAATCGGAAGAGCTCCACAAAAAGCACGCTGTCCTTTTCACATTTGCGAAAAGAAGTCAGGAATTGGACAGATAGGCGAAATTGAAGTGGATATGGGAGAAATTGAAAAGCTTGGAACCAGTCGAGAAGGGATGAATCCCAAAGTCTCCTTCCACCCAAGATCAAGAAACGTCATTATGGTGTTATGCATGGATGCGACACTGGCTGCTTTCTTAACAAACAAATGTTTTTACCTGTCACTCAGCAGTAGTCACAGTGCACCCATGGAAAAAGGCCACAACTTATCAACAGACACCCTTCAAATACAGACAGGACTTGATCAAAAAAGCACTTCTGGATTCAATTCGACAACGTGCCGGAAGGAATGCACGGCTGCGTCAAAGAAAGAGTAAGGATGGAATATGGAAATTTCAAGGAACTGCACTAGATTGTAGCAATACCGGACTTCCTCACACCACAACATAATCAAATGACGGTGGTCCCGGACATAGGGGAAAGCCCGATGCCGCACACACCGGATGAGTGGTTTTCCCTGCAGGATGAAAAAGTGAACAGAATCGCGGTGTCCAGTAAGACCAACCCATTTTGTTTCAAGTGCAGGCAAAGAGGACATCTGGGTACCGATCCCAACTGCCCCAAAACAAAGGAAAACTCGAAACCCAAACCGCTCAGAACAGCCAATCTGCAAGAGGTAACGGACAAGAAGGTTTTTGGTATGTACAATACGCAGGCTGGGTCTTCAACGATAACATGGAGGTCCCGAACTGGGTATGAATCCTAGATAGTGAAACAACCCCGAGGCCGGAGGCATACCCCCCCTATGACAGCAGATGGCAGTCAATGAAGGTAGAAAGGAAATCCCCCATGTGTTAAGGAAATCCCCCATGTGTTTCACCAAGGATCCAACAATAAATGTGGAAAACCTCAAGCAAGAGATTTGGGACCGAGACTTGTGCGCGGATTTGCAGTCGGTGCAGGAAAAGGAAGAAATGAAATGGGTAGAAGTGGTCAAGCAAAAGAGAGGATGGGAAAAATAGAAGGAGAACAATGTAAAGACATACACAAGAAGAACATTGAAAGGCCAAGCAAAAACCTCCCAGACACAGGACCAGGAAACAAGGAAAGAAGCGGGACAGAAGGGAGAAGGGATGCCAAAATTGGATCTCATGGAGGGATCAACAACCAGGGACCCCGCGCTGGGAGAAAAGAGGAAACACCATGAGGGACAGCAGGACAGGGACGCACCCGACTCGGAGGAGGATCAGGAAGAGTGGTATGTCCCGTGGAGTGGCCGCCAAGAAAGTGAACTGGTGGAATTCATCTAGAACTTTGAGAAGAAAAGACGAGAAGTATGAACTCCAAATGATCCTGTACAAGGAAGAACAAAAGACCAAACAAAGGGCAGAAGCAACGAACCCCATGCAGGTCATCCCACTTTCAGAGAACCCGTTCACTCCCTTGGAAAGAGAAGGAGAACTGGCAGCCTTTTATGCAGAGAAATACTGTGCAGCAAAGGAGGACACAAGCATGGAAGTGGAGGAAAACAGCAACAGTGGGAAGGGAAAACTCCACCTCCAAAGAACCAAGCTGCCCACCTGCAAAACCACTGCGCCACGCAGCAACTAGAGTGAAGGCCAGTCACAACCAGACCTGAGCCAAAAGGAATACTCACTAGCCCACCTGGGTATTGAGGTGGAGTCCCTACAGGCGCAATGCGAAAGGCTTAGCGAGCTCAACGAGGAGATGAGTCGTCACACGGTGGTGGTGCAAGACCTGCAGTACCAAGGTCACAACAACTTTTGGGAAAAAGCGAGGGAAGAAGCCAATCTCCTGCTTCCATCCAGAGCAATAATACCCATCCAACAGGACAACGCGAGTGGGGAGTGGCAGGTAACGATGCGCAAAGACTTCACGGTGTCCAAACTGCAATGGGGACAGAAATGCAGTGACGCAGTGAAAGAAACCGAAGGGGGCAGGAACCAAAATTCACAGGAATTGCGGGTAAGCAGGCATCAGAAGAGGAACCGAAGGGGGCAGGAATCATTGGGGAAACAAAGAAAAATCCTTGATATGACGCAAGACCAATTATAGCCTTTTTCGACCAACAAACAGAACTGGCCGATGGCTGGCAATGGAGACCTTAGTGAATGGTAGCAAGCTTGCCCATCACAACTTTGGGGAATGAAGCAACCACAACCCAGAATGCAGCAAGCCTGGCTACATTAGCAGAAGCAGGAGTCATGTTTTTGGAGGAGGAGGAATTGTTGGAGAAACTATTCCCACTAGAGGATGAAACAGAAGGTAGCTCTTCTTGCGTATCTTAAATCAATACAACCAAACTAAGAGCAGAAATGTAGAAATCAATCAATGAAGGGATCAAGGGGGGACCTAGTCATCTGGTCTTGGAACGTAAGGGGGCTGGCAACAATTCTGTCCAACCCAGAAAAATGGCACTGCCTTCTGACAACGGTTGGATGGAACGGCCCCAACCCCCCGGACATTCTCAGTCTCCAAAAAGCGCACCTGACTAGCTCCCAGGCACACACAACCGTAAGAGAGGAAATCCTCAGGAGAATGGGAAACTACAAAGCCATAGTAGTAGCCCATAGCCCTAGCCTTGCCTTAGCCGGAGTGCTCATTTTAGCACATAAGAACACAGAAGCAGCTCACTTCATGTAGTCACATCCACCACAGTAGACCCTTCAAGTGGTAGATGGGTCAGGCTAGACTTTTCTTACACGGAAGAAAAACTCACAATTATAAACATTTATGCCCCCAATTCAACGAATAACAAAATAGAGTTTTTTAAGGAAATCGACGATTTTTTCCCCCCCTCAAAGGCATACAGTCATAGTAGGAGATTGGAACACAGTTCAGTGCCCATACCTGGACAAGATATCCTGGGCCAATGAGTCCTCTGAAGATCCTGCCATGTCAGTCCTGTCCGAACTTATGGTAGAAAAAAACCTAAAGGATCCCTACAAAATGCTAAATCTGTCCAAAAAAGACTACACCTGCATCAGGAAAACGTCTCAAGGAAGAACAACCTTCTCAAGAATCGACTTTTCTCTCATATCTGAAACCTTGGAGGGAGTTGTCGTGGAAAGTTCTATTGGGAGGCTACTGTACTATGACGGCTTCGACCACAATCCAATCTCTATCAACCTCTCACTCTCTCTTGACAACTCCCCAGGGAGGAGCTTCTTTAAACTTATTACATCACTCCTCAATCTAGATACTTTCAGACAAAGCCTACAAAGCAAATGGGCAGAAT